ATGACAGGACAGCTTTGTCACCGATTCCAGCACATACCTTGGTCCTCCAGCTCCGGGTGGTCCACCTCTGCCCCTTCCCATATGACCACCTCGCCCCCTGCCTGAACCATCCTGGGACCCATTCAGGAAGTTAGGGTCCATGTATGGGTCGTGCTCGCCAGGCTCCTAAAGACCGAAATAGTAAAAAGATGTTTGCACTGCTGTGGAGTAGCCAGACAGCAAAGTATCTGCATATCTAGTATGTGAAGTATGAAGAGGCTAAAGTGTTACATACCGGAATAAGGAACTTCTTGACCTCCTCCATGGCATGAGCCATGCGCAGATAGGCTTCTGGTATGGGTGCTGTGACCTCGATGAACACATGCAGCTCCATGGCCAGGTGAGCGTATTTAGCCTCACCGCCCTTCCTCAGCTCCTCTTCCTGACGAACACACAAAATACAAAGTCTTAACATGCAAACAAAGCCAGAATAAAAATAATAATATGGGTTTATTTTTTTAAAATCATGCAGCAAAGGAAACTTCTCTACCCCTACCTTATTCTTGTCCCTCATGGAACCTTTTCCCAGAACGGAAATCTTTGCCCCGGTCTCCTCCTGGAGTCTCTTGATTGTGCTGCCCTGAGGTCCCAAAAGCTTCCCCACAAAGTTGACCTGGAAGAAAACATGTAAGCATGAATTACACAATCACGTCACTTCTTGTTGGCATTTCAGGGATAAGGAGGACACAAGTCAAAAAGCACTTTCAGCTCCACAGCAGTTTCCACATCTCCCATCTTTACTGTTTTGACTGCAAAGCCGTTCATGCAGAAACAAGCTTAGCAGGGCACTGGGCGCATGACTGACTCATTTAGGGGCAGCAGAGCTCACGGATTTGAGCGCGTTACCATCGGATACACTGGATTAGTAGACCAAACTTGCTGTTACGCTTTAAGACACTGTACTGACAAATGTCCTTGTCTCAGGTTCACTCCAGCTACAAGTGGAGGGTAAACAAAACACAGCTATTTTATCTGATTTGCAAGGGCACGCAAGAGGAAACACTCACCCTTGGGTACTGCTTGGTAGGAATGAGTACTCGCTCTTTGAGCTTCAGATTCTTGGTAGCAAACAGGTCCAGATAGGTCTCCTTCTCTGGCTCTTTCTTGGTTTCGCCCTTCTGGATCCTTTCAATCTCTGCAGGTTAGAAACATGATCTAAGCACGTAGCAGATGCAAATACCAAGAAGTACAAATGTAACTGTAGGCAACAACTGCTCAGATGATCATGATGCAGGTCCAGCCCAAACAAAGCTCCATTGTTTCATTGCGATCACCTGAATATCAATCATGTGAACCACTGACCACAAAACACTTGGCAGTTTTGCGCCGTTTGGGGCCAAACGAACACAATTTCATGGCGCTTCCGTAACGCATCAGTTGCACAGACGTGGCTAGCCGTTGAGACTCGCCGTTAATCAATGAACTCCGGTGTTAGCTGTAGCTAAACGACACTCTTTCATACATAAAGCATATTTATACATAGCTTTAATGAAAACGACACATTTTCCGGTGTTTAACTACACAAACCGTAGCATATATTCTAGGACGGCTGTTTGACCCACATCGCTGTCAGCCACGTGTTTAATGCGCCATTGTTCAGGCCTCGTTCATGTCGGCCAAGAAGAACAAGAAGCTAGGCCTCGCGCCGGGCTAACGTCAAGCCAGCCAGTTAGCCTTCATGCTAACTAACGTCCACTTTACCTGCGGAGATAAGCTTCATGGCGTGTGTGAACGACGAATCCAGGCTGTCCTTCTCGGCCAGAAGCTCCGGGAGGTACTTGGTGTCTTCCATGTTGGGTTTCTTCGGTGCAGGGCTCGACTCTATGGCGGACTCTGAGTTGTTCTTGTTAACATTCGCTTGGCTCATAATGCACTTGACGCCGGCGGACGAACTGAACGAAGCCTCGCTCGGTTCGGTGGCTTCGCCTTTGATACGAAACTGTCGGTTAAGGAACGAAACGCCGGTTTCCCGCTGTGTTCGGTGGAGTCGCAGAGCCGCGCCGGTTATCTCTCCGCTTCGGGTCCGTGTGCTCTCCTCGGCAGACAAAGGAGGGATGGCGCAGCTGCATTTGAGTGTGATGGAGGAGGAAGCACAGGAGGAGACAGTGACGTCACGGGCCCAGCCGCCATCTACAGTCTGGTGGAGGCAGACTACAGTGATCCCTCATGTTCCCTCATGTTCCCTCTCTCTGCTTTCTAGTGGCTGCGCACACAGGTTCAGTGACAAGCTCCAACAGGCCTGTCCTGCTGTATAAACTCATATTACCCCGTATTTATTGAGCTCAATGCAATCAGACAGAGAGCCAGGCACTTCTGGTTCTGTGGATGTATATGGCCTCTTGATGCACCTGAGAAGTGAAAACTTAGTGGATTGCAAGTTTTGGGGAAGATTCACTTCTTCTCTACAGTCTTGCATTGTTTCTCGGCCTTCTGCACTCAACATTTCTTGGACCAATGCACCTGCTATACCAGCAACCGCAGAGACCGTTGCAAAGGAAGCCACGTTTCGCTTCTCTTGTGGCTATTTCAACAGGGTTTTCAGACACAGATGAAAAGCAGAACAGGCAGAATGACACTATCATCCCATATGTAGCCAGTTTGTCAGAGAAACAACATCCTTATGCACTTCAGATCAGCAAAAACTGGTTCACCCTAAAGATAAAACACCCAAACACAAGTTGAACAGTGGTTTGTATTGCTTTGTCCTACATTTTTACACTATCCCTTTTTCCTGCTTTGGGATCAATAAAGGAGCCCTGTGATAGACTGGTGACCTGTCCAGGGTGTCCCCTGCCTTCGCTGGGATAGACTCCAGCCTCCCGCGACCCTAGTGAGGATTAAGCGGTGTACAGATAAAGGATGGATGGATCAATAAAAGATCTTACATGCAGTGAATTTCAACCAGCAGACCTAAATAAAAAAGAATATCAAACAGCTGCTCCACAACAAAGGACAGCCAGCTCCTCAGGACAAGACTCAGCAATCCACCTGCATCTGAAGAGCCGAGGACAGCGACCAACTCATTGTAGACAGAGAAGACAGACGAGCCCCTTTCAGACATGCATCCTGTTCCGTTAATCTGATGGCTATTTCACGAATCGGCTTCATGTCTGAATGAGCGTCCTGATCACCTAAAAAAAATTGGGCCTACTAGGTCGGACCTAGTCACATCTCTATATCACTTTCAGCGTGGCTCAAGTCTGAATTACCACATTAAAGCCCCTTTCAGACTTTGGATATGGAACATTGTGTCCCATACCTAGAAAGGGTTAAAGCCTGTTAAAGTGACTGCATCTTTTCAGACGTGCACTTCATTCCGTTTATCTGATGGCAACTGGAGGTGTCAGCTTCTTGCATTTCTGCATTTTATATTATCATCACATAGACCACCAGGCTTTCTTAATCATTACATGACAAATAAGCCTTTACATATGAATGAGTTAGTGCAGGTCCAATCCTGGGAGGAGCACAGTGGGTATTACAGACATGTAACACATTTACCACAGCACAGTGTCTTTTTTTGCTGGGTAACCTAAAGATCTATGCAGTGTCCCGGTTTAACATTAATTTCTGCTGCTTCTGTTATTTAGTCAGTAACCCTATCTTTTAAAAGTATTTTACAGGCTATTTCATTTTATTATAATTGTTATCTGGGATGCTCATTCAGAGATGTTCTGTAAATCTATCTGGGAACACTTTGTTCAGTCATTATTAAAAATAAATCACAAGCCCAGACATGAACATCGTCTATTATCCAGCGCCCAAAGTGTTCGGCTGAATGCGCTCGTCTTACATTTGCTGTTTGACTGCACAGGACTTGCTGCGATCATGCTGTCAGGGCCCATTGTTCTCCTCCGGCTGCCTTCGAGGTGGAAACTCCAGCTGGATCTGTTAATGCGGGTTGATGGGAGGCTTGACCTGATGAGGAAGGTTCATCAAGACTCGACATGCGATTCATGCGATCGCCAGGGACTGTGGCTGCAGGCGACAAGACTCAAACCATCTCTCCTTTAAAAATTCTCAAATGTCAGTCATTTTAAAAGGTACAGACACCATGAAACCCATGTATATGGATCTAAAAACAGTGGAAACAACAGCAACTTTAACTATCAGATGTCCCGACTGGAGTCTGCATGTTGATGTTAATGCATAATAACACATGTTTAACATTTATTCATTGACTTGTATATGTGTGAGCAGGTTTAAACAGTTCACTTAAGAAGGATGAGTGTATTATTGTTGCTGACAGGTTGCTGTGTTGATCTTAAAATAGGACAGTTGTGGATATTTTCTGTTTATGATACTCCATCCATCCATCATCTATACACCGCTTAATCCTCACTAGGGTCGTGGGGGGCTGGAGTCTATCCCAGCTGACCCTTTAGGACACCCTGGACAGGTAACCAGTCTATCACAGGGCTACACTTAGAGACAGACAACCAAGCACACTCACATTCACACCTACAGACAATTTAGAATCACCAGTTAACCTCAACATGTTTTTGGACTGTGTGGGAGGAAGCCAGAGAACCCACGCTGCATGGGGAGAACATGCAAACTCCACGCAGAAAAATCCCGGGTGTCCTCACAGGGACGCGAACTGGCGACCTCTCTTGCTGCGAGGCAACAGTACTAACCACTGACCCACCTTGCAGCCCCTGTTTATGATACTAAACATGTAAATCTACGCTCAAACGTAGTGCAAAAATGACAGCTCCTGGTCACTGCTCTGCCCTCCACAATGACGACACCTTCACAAAATATTCAAAAGCAAGAGTTTAATTTGAAATAGCTGTGACCATCAAATCAATCCCACAAGAAAAATAAAACATTTGTTGATTCATTTACAATGACTCAGAAGGCATTGACATACTTTCTTTTTTTCATAAATAAGAATAACAAAAAGCAAAATGAACTGAGCTGACAAATGTGCTATAAAAAACACCACATAACTGTAAATCAGTGTTTTTCTTTGTCAATAACAGCTAAAAATAAACAGCCACATCATTTCCAGTTAAACTTTTTTTTGTGATTTCTGAAATGATGCATCTTGTGAATCATTAATGTCGTTTATATAATCTGCAATCGACCTGATTAGTGAACAGCTCATCCAACAAATACAAAACCAAAATGTACTCATCAGTATTCAGTGTCTTCATTAAAAAGGCCACTTAAACTGGCCGCGTAGATTTCCCAGTTCCATCGAACCACGTACGTCACCTCTCTGGAGATATCGTCAGATATCAATGATGGTAAATATTTCAGGTTTTTCTTTATCGTGGATCTGCATTGCAGAGTATGTGATGGCTTTCACCTCGGTTCCCTGGAATCACAACACAGGACACAACAGTTATGATCATTTTACTCCAGTTATGTACCTTTTATTATCATTTGTATGTAGTTCTTCAATGTAAGGGTCAGTTCTACCTGTGGATGCTTTTCCAGAGAGAATTCTTCACCCCACCTTTTACAAACAAAAGAAAAATGAGGCGTAAGAGAACAAATAAAAATGGACAGTATAAGTGACCTTTGTCTCTTTGGAATTTATCCAAAATTTAAGTCTTTAAAACTTAATGATGTCTTGTATATGACAGAGAGACAGCGTAGGAGTTAGTTTGAACCTTTTACACACGTCTCTTTTCATGATGATTGTCACAATAAAAACCTCCACACACACACAAAATGTTTAATATCCCACAGATATATAAAGAAGGTAAGTTTAGAAAACAGAATTTGCAAGTTGAGTAAATCTTTTGTTTCCAACATGCAGCCATCCGTGTTTTAATTCATAACCTCCATGTTGCTGAGAAGAGAAGCTCATACTCACCCGATGGAGCGAATCTTGAACCGCATTCTGTCAATGTGCAAAACTTTGACCTCCTGTTGAGCACATAAAACACAACCGTGAGCACACAGTAGCATAAGAAATAAAAGCATAAAAAAGGAACAAAGCAGCCTTCAGAATGTTTTTGGATAGACTGACTATATTTTGATGGACAAGAAGTTGATTTATGGAGACCCTGAAAAGATGGTTCAGTTTCTGTTAAGTGTTGTAGAAGGTCCTTATCTATAGTTGGTGTGTAACCTGCAGTGTGTTACCAGCTAAACAAAGGCCTTTATCAGTGTGACTGTGCACAATATATAGAATATTTTTTACAGTTTTATCTTGCCATGAGACAGCCCTCTGTAAGGAAGCTGAAGCAGTTTTATCTCTCTCTTCAATACTATCAGTACTGTGTCACTTTAGTTAACAATAGCTCACAATAAACACCAAAGTCACGAAATAAAATGATTGATTGATTGACTGAGGCAACAGTAAGCAAGAAATTCTAATGTCTGCAAAATAAAATTATACTTTTTTTCTGACAACTTTGAAGAGAGCAAAGAGCAACTTAAAGGCTTCAGTTCCCCATCAGACAAGTAAAGTGTTGAAAGTATTCTAAACATAGTGCACACTTTAACTGGTGTTCTTCTTTTTTAAGATTTCTAAAATATGTCTTGCTGCTGACTCTGTCCACAGCATTTTATTGCTTAACTTCCATATTGATGCTCGTGTCTGCATCTCCAAAGTAAAGACATGTCATACTTGATCTACTGCAGGAGGTACACTGACTATGGATGAGCACCTCATACAGCCGCACTCCAAATAAACCAAACAATCCCTTTAAGTTAGAATTTGTGGAAAGCCATAAGTCACTTTTTTAGTCACTATTTTACTGTAAATGTCCAACCTCAAAAAAAGACTTTTGCAACTTCTGTGACAAGATTTGCAAACATGCTATAAGGATGTAATAACACATTGCAGTGTCATTTCTTTATTCATCTATGTATCTAGCAAATCTTGTCATAAACTGACAAAATGCAGGGAAACAGACAGATCAAGCCTCAAAGACACTTCACAAGTGACCAACATGCTCACCCTGGGAACAAAGAAGAGATCCGCACAAAACTTATACAACCAGTCATCTAGGAAGTGGAAGAGAAGAGACTCCATGTCCTCACCTGTCAGAAGAAGAAGAAGGACAGATTTTAGTTTCAGTGTTGTCAAAACAGCATGACCCACACATACTGTCATACGAGGTGTGTCAGAAAAGTTTCAGAACTGGTGTCACAAAAGATATATTTTAAATACAAACTACAAACTACGGGTTTTCCCCTTCTAAGTAATCCCCCTGGAGTCTAACACTCTTTCTCAGCCTTCTCTGCCATGCCGCCATGCACTCCTGGAAGGATTCTTCCTGGATCCTCCTCAGCTCCGTCGTCACAGCCATCTTGATGTCATCCACATCCGAAAACGGGTCCCCTTGATGACCCCCTTGAGCTTGGGGAAGAGGAAACAATCCTACAGGGCCAGCTGGGGTGAGTAGGGAGGTTGCTCCAGCACGGTAATGTTCTTCTCAGCCAGGATCTGTCAGATGCTCAGGGCATCGTGAGCAGGCACGTTGTCATGGTGAAGCAGCCACGACTTGTCCTGCCACAACTTTTGCCTCTTCTCTGAACGAAGCAAACGCCACAGGATCTCTTTGTAAACGTTCTGTTTGATGGTCTGAAGGGGAAAACTCGTAGTTTGGATTTGAAATATATCTTTTGTGACGCCAGTCCTGGAACTTTTCTGACGCACCTCGTATAGCGTCATTTGAATAAAGCTGCATTTTAAGGTGGCCTTCTACAGTCACTGGTCAAAGGAGCATCTGTGTGCTGGTCATCAATATCTGACATCCTTTAAAGTCACACCTTAACTGACTGTGGATCAACTCAGCAGCTGAGAATCTGTCACCTGTTGAACAGCTGAAGACGTTTTTGTGCACAATAAATTTAACCCACTTTCTCGCAGAGTCAGAAACTGTGTAAAACTGTGGCTTGTGCTGAACTCTCACCCTCTGATTCCACTTCAACGGTATCAAGCGGCTCCACTGTCTCCGTGTCGGTCATGTAGCCGAACATTCCCATGGCACACTGCTCAAAGGCCTCTTCTAAAGAGTCTCCCCAGGAGTGAATTCTTAAGGGAGGAAACAATAAGTTATGGTTACAGTGACAAAGAGGAACAAGAATTTATTTTTACCAAGATAAGAAGACACACTTACTGTACATCTGCTGTGTGATCCAGGTCTGAAATAGTAAGAATACAGAGGACTTGATTAAAAGTCGTTGATCAACTTAACAGCTGGGAAGATAAGATTAACTTTTTTCAAAAGAATTTGCATTAATCAACAGATTCAATTAGAGCATAAACTACACTAAAAACATGAGTTACAGTCGGTGTGAAAACAATTTCAATCAATATACTAATAGCAGAGAACCTATGACAGCTACATGATACAAAGCTGAAGTTAGGTGGCTTTCAATTTGGAAGTTTAGACAAATTTAAGGGAAATCTGACCAACTGAGTCTGAGCAAACAATTCTGCATTTTTCTTTTTTTGGTACGTTTTAGTGATTTTAGTAAAATCATGTTAGACATCATAGGTAAAGTCTTGATGCTGACTGAAACCCACGTTCATTTTTATGCAAAAAACAAAACAAAACAAAACAAAAAAAAAACAAAACAGCTGTAATTTTAGATCTTAATTGGATTATACTAGAATGGCAAACAAGTCTTTAAAAGACAGTGTTTAAGTGTGTGAATGCTTTGTTTCAATCTGTGAAACTGTAAAAATGGGCGATTTCTCTGCTTTTGTTGTACAGAGACTACATTAGTGCAGGTCCAGATCTAACATCACTGTATATTAACAGGTCAGATCTGAACTACAATGTCCCACCAAGACTGATGAGTCTTAAAAACACAATCTCTGCCGTGTGAAAGCTTTCTTCTATTTGTGAAAATGAAAGAAAAGAGAGCTTTCACTCCTTTTTTTTCTCATATAGATCACATTAGAGCAGGTCCAGATCTACAACCACTATAAAACAACTGGTCAAATCTGGACTGGGTTGTCTCATAGAGGCTAAATAGTCTTTAAAACATAGTCTCTGATATGTGAAACCATCATTTTATCTGTGAAAAAGCAATAGAAGAGAGATTTCACTGGTTCTTCTAGCATGCAGACCACACTATACTAGATCCAGATGTAAAACCACTCTATATAAAGTAGTCAGATCAGCAGTAGATTGTCCTACAGACGCTTAATGTATGTTAAAAACAGTTTCTAACTTGTGAAAACTTCAGTAAACAAAGCTTTCCTTAACTAATCGGAAGCTAACGTTAGCTTCGCCTCTATTGTTTACCATAATAACGTCAGACTTACATTCATATTTCTTGTTGATCGGCGGGTATTTAGACTTGGTAGCTTTCTGTGCTTCTGTCAGGTCTAGCTGACGGTCGTCCATCGCGGCTGTAAGTTATTTCAAAGTTTAAAAGGCTGATCGAGTAAACTCCACACCATGTCGCTCTGTGTCTCTCAGTTTACAGACGGGTTACAACACGGAAGGGAGGAGGAGGTTCCGGAAATGACACATCAGACCCTGCTCAACGCTGATTGGCTCGTCGCGTTCTATGGAGTTGGCGCCATTGCGAGCCTCCGTGCTGTCTTCAGAGCGCTCTCCCTCACATTTACCCCTCTTTACCAGTGTTAGGCGTTTAACTGCGACGCAATGGCTGATAAAGACGGTAAGGGCGTTCATATTTCTGAATTAGACCATTCAGCGTGTGTGCGTGTCGCCCAGAGCGGTAGAAAAGTCCCGAGTGAGGACCGTACCGGTGGCTGTTGGCGCGCCGGCCAGCATCTCCTTTCATTGTTAGGAGGCAGCCAGCTAGCTGTTAGCCGCCGCTAGCTGCTAGCTGCGCTGCTCACACGGGGGCTTTTAATTCATGAATGCGGGTTAATTCTCTGCTCCACCTGGATTAAGGTGTTGCTTAAAGCTCGTCCTCACGGGCAGATGAGGTTTTTTTGCGTGCGTTCATTGAGTTAACTCTACCTGCGTGTGCTAGTGATGCTTTATCAGTAAAATAAACTTTAATGTAAGTGTTAAATTAACGATGAAACTGCCAGTCTTCAGAGGACAGGTGTCACCCAGGTGTCCTCTGTTCTGTCCACATAAACTGGCTGCTTCTTTTTCTTCTTCTTTTTTTAAAAAATTACTCTCATAACATGGCTATGTGTGGCTTGTAAATACTAAATTTGCAGCGGCATTTGATGACGCTGTGGAGGAAAGGGTGATCAATGAGGAGTACAAGATCTGGAAGAAGAACACACCTTTCCTCTACGACCTGGTCATGACACACGCCCTGGAGTGGCCCAGCCTCACTGCTCAGTGGCTGCCAGATGTCACCAGGTGAGAGGAGATCTGTCGCACTGTCACAGATACCAAATCATCACTACAGATTGGAGTGGGATAAGTAATTTTTCCTGGCTCAGAATGAACCCTTTTGGAGGTGACTATGCATGATGATAAAATTTGTGTGCAGTAAAGTAGGGCTGATTTGAGTTGAGGGGAAAAGTGATCTATGTGGTAGTTGTTGTGATTTGCTTTATCTCAATATTCACTGTGCAAATTATTTTAAACATGATGGGGCGTTGTCACCATCAAAAAGCACTATCATTATATGAGCAGTCCTGTATTCTAATGCAAGGATGTGATCTTAAATACCCAAATTACCTCCAAAATGCTCTTACTACATTTTTTTTAAAAGGCATATATGACACAACAATGATCACAAAAGCTGTGGCTGTTAAGTCTATAAATGAAGCAAGAATGATGTAAAGCATAAAGTAATTTCAAACTGATTGGACCTTTTTGTAAACAATGCAAAGCTTCTACCTGGAGGTCTTTTACAGCTCATTTAAGTATTGCACCATTTGGTACGCTGCAGCAACGGCCAAGGACAAGGCCAGGCTGCAGCGTATCATCCGCTCGGCCGAGAACATGATCGGCTGCAATCTGCCGTCTCCCCAGGACCTGCACGCCTCCAGGACTCTGAGGCGTGCAGGTCAGATTGTGGCCGACCCTTCCCACCCTGGTCACAAACTTTTTCAATCGCTCCCCTCTGGCAGGAGGCTTCGGTCCATCAGGACCAGAACATCCTGCTACAAGAACAGTTTCTTTCCATCTCATTTCTAGTTACTTTATTTTACTGTATATTTATTGTTTACTCTATACTTATTGTTTTGTTGCACCAGAACAAATTCCTTGTATTGTGTGAACTATGCCTGGCAATAATTCTGATTCTGCAATAATTTTTTTTTAGTAAAGTAATTTAAAAAAGACTAAGTCAGACATGATGCACAGCGTTTATCCCTAATTGCACTGTTTCTATGGTGCACTGTTGCTTCCTCCTTTGACAAAAATGACTCATTCGGCTGTTATTTCTCACCATTTGATAAACAAAAAATATCCAATACTTGAAAAAATAAAACAGCAATTAAGATGACTGATTTAAAAAAAAACATAACTTGTTGAAAAGTGCACCAAAAATTAATCGATGCAGGAAAACGCCTGTAATTCTAATGCGCCTCTCCACAGGCCAGAGGGGAAAGATTACAGTGTGCACAGGCTGGTTCTGGGGACGCACACCTCCGATGAGCAGAATCACCTCGTAATCGCCAGCGTTCAGCTCCCAAATGATGACGCCCAGTTCGACGCCTCGCACTACGACAGCGAAAAAGGAGGTGAGAGACAATGTGTGCACTGAAAGCTTGTGTTAGGAGAGGAAACTATGTTTTGTGCCTAGCTGCTTTTAGCACCAGATGAAGGGGTTGATGGGTAACCTGTGTTATCAAGGGGGTAATAATATATGAAGTCTACATAGAACTGGAATGCTAGCTCTCATAGATTATCCAGACTTGTCTCAGATAGGCCAAGGTGATAATTTGCTGTGTTTAGTAACTGTTGTCTTTCAAGCTATTCAAAGTTTTATGTTAGAATGTTGTGGCTCACGGTTCTTTTCAATGAATGAATGAAGTTAAATTTTTTTGAAATCTTTAATGCTTCAGAAATTGAAGGTATGTATGTCTGTTTAGATGACGTGTTAGTCAATAACATCCAATGAACCATACATACAATATATCATCCAACATGTGTAGAAGAGCAAAGTGTTGATGTGCACGTGTACAGTAACCATCTGATGAATCTGTTTATTTCAGAGTTTGGAGGTTTTGGATCTGTAAGTGGGAAAATAGAGATTGAGATTAAGATCAATCACGAGGGGGAGGTGAACAGAGCTCGCTACATGCCTCAGAATCCTTGCATCATTGCCACCAAGACCCCCACCAGCGATGTGCTGGTCTTTGATTACACAAAGCACCCTTCCAAACCTGGTAGGATTGCGGCACTTTGTGTGGAGAGTTTCCCGAAAGTCAGCAGCAGATGATGTCACTGTTGAGCTTCAGTAGGTTGTTTTGTTTTTTTAATGCTGTTGTTTTTTTAAATTTATATTGAAGACCCTTCTGGAGAGTGCACCCCTGATCTGCGACTGAGGGGTCACCAGAAGGAGGGCTACGGCCTCTCCTGGAACCCAAACCTCAGTGGCTGCCTCCTCAGTGCTTCTGACGACCACGTAAGCAGCCTGCTGCAACATATCGAAATTATTCTTGTCGATGCTGGCTTTCTTTTCTTTACTTTGTTGTCCACTGTTCCTCTATTTTTAATTCATTTTTAATTTTTGCACACAACCAAACAGAGTCACAGGCGATATTAGTGGCACTCATAATAAACAGCAGTTCCATCATTAAACAATATTCATAACTTTTAGATGCACCCTATACTATTCCCACTTACCGCACACACACTCCGTCCCTTCATACCAACACACACCTTATACAACTGTTCCTCTGTTTTATTACTTAACAATGTTAGCTAACAAATCTCACTGATGTGTGGACCTGTTGTCTTATAACTTTAAATTGCAAAACACTGGGTACATTTTTGAATCTTTAAATGTTCTACTCTGTGTATTCTTTAGACCATTTGCCTGTGGGATATCAGCACAGTGCCCAAGGAGGGGAAGATTGTGGACGCCAAGACGATCTTCACGGGCCACACTGCCGTGGTGGAGGACGTCTCCTGGCACCTGCTCCACGAGTCGCTCTTTGGATCTGTTGCAGACGACCAGAAGCTTATGATGTAAGCAGCCTGAGAGAGAGAGCTCATGAGATACAGAAGTGTTGTCCAGCTGCATGTTTCTCACAACAATGGGGCTTCTGTCTGTTGTGGAACAGTTGGGACACGCGGTCGAACAACACCTCCAAGCCCAGCCATGCGGTGGACGCCCACACCGCCGAGGTCAACTGCTTGTCCTTCAATCCCTACAGCGAGTTCATTCTGGCCACTGGCTCTGCAGATAAGGTGGGTCCACTCTCGGCATGTTGTTGTCGTCCAGTGACGCAGCATCATTCTGTATGAGCTGAATCAAAGCTGACTCGTTTTATTTGTAGACCGTGGCTCTTTGGGACCTGAGGAACCTGAAGCTGAAGCTCCACTCGTTTGAATCTCACAAGGACGAGATCTTCCAGGTAAGAAGTGAACCTTTAATCAGTCAAATCGTTCGTATAGTTTGTAGCAGCTGGTCCAGAGTTGTGTGGGAAGTCTCAGCCAACAAATCAGGCCTAATGGAGGGATTCAACTCATTCACTACAGTGTTGAGTGCTGCCTTATAACTGTGTAGTAAAACTGGCTTGTGGCAACATGAGAGAGTATAATTATGATGATGTGACTCAGACGGGAAATGTAAACAAAGGAATTATGCAGAACAAACAAATAACAGTCGGCCAACTGTTCGACTGTTGGTTTGGTATTTATGGAGGACTATGTGGCCCATCTCTTCCCAACAGGTTCAGTGGTCTCCTCATAACGAAACCATCCTGGCATCCAGCGGCACCGACAGGCGGCTCAACGTCTGGGACCTCAGTAAGATCGGAGAGGAGCAGTCACCCGAGGATGCTGAGGACGGTCCTCCTGAGCTGCTGGTGAGTTACAGCGATGATGATGATGGTGGCGGTTGATGTTTAGATTTAAGATTTTCTTAAGGATTCCTCCTGTTCTGCTCCTCTGTAGTTCATCCACGGCGGACACACAGCCAAGATCTCAGACTTCTCTTGGAACCCTAACGAGCCGTGGGTCATCTGCTCTGTATCAGAGGACAACATCATGCAAGTGTGGCAGATGGTAAGAGCTTTGTGGTGGGAGTGACTTGTTCATTAGATTGTGAGGTATCCAAAGAGGGAACATCAGACACACCACGGATAGAGTTTTAATAGTAAAGTTAATTTTTACAACATACAATTAAAGTGAATATTTTTCTACAGGCTGAAAATATCTACAACGACGAGGACCCAGAGGGAGCTGCAGATTCAGAGGTCCAGGCATGAGTCCAGCGTCCACGTCTCGTCTTTTACCGTGCTCGTTCGAAATGGATCCGTTTTCCAGAGCTGGGTGCATAAGCAGTAAATTCTTTTTCAAAACACGTTTTGGGCAGCGGGGGTTTTGTAGAAAACGAAAGAAGGAAAAATGCTGCGTCGTCATCATATTGTGATGTATTTAAAATACGGTCTGTACTGGTCTGATTTTTAGATCTTTTTAGTTTTTCAAAGTCGACCCTGGCTCGTGATGAAACAGGCACGTCCATCGTTATTCAGGTTCTTGTTTTTTTTCATCCCGATTAGTCGTGCAGAAAACATTTCTACGGAGATCCATTTTTAATATAATTGTACATACTGTAGGTCTTTCTCTTTTTATTTGCTTGGTATGTGTAGTATGAGTTTCTCAGATTGTGTGTTGTGTCACTTGTATGTGGTTTTGTTTTCTCTGCATTTTGTTTTTCTGTGCTGCATCTGATCTCTTGTGTACTTAAGTATATTCATAATAAAAATATTTACAGTAAAGCTGCTGTTGTTTCTTGGCAGGTAGAAGTTGCACGTAAGAATAATATCCTTTAAATTATGAATAATAGGACTGTAGTAGCACATATCTCCCAAGTTTGCATTGTTTTGCATGTTCTACTAGTTATTTCTGTTCCATTAAATGCAAATGCAGTGCTGTTTGGTCAGATGTAGCTTGGCTGGTTAAGAACAGTTTGGTTCTTCCTCTGCAATAGTTTCTCTTGGTTCATCACTGCCTCTGGAAGACAAAACATGTGTTAGTCATTTATCACCCAGATGCTCACAATTAGCAGTAAATTAAAGCTGAATGGATTAGCAGAGGTGTCCAATCCTGGTCCTGCATGTTTTAGATGTCTCCTTCTTCCAACACACCTGATTCAAATGATCAGCTCATCATCAAGCTCTGCAGAAGCCTGACAACGATCCTGATCATTTGAATCAGGTGTGTTGGAAGAAGGAAACATCTAAAACATGCAGGACCAGGACTGGACACCCCTGGATTAGAGTGAACGTACCTCAGAAATGTCAGCTCTGTTGAGAGGCCGTCTGTAAGATCCTCTAAAACCTTCTTAGATTTTCTTTGAACTTCAAACTCCACTTTCAGTTCTTTCAGGGTCTCTCTTAGTTTCTCCACAGTCTCCTGTGCAAAGTGGGAGAATGTTAGTTTTATTAAGCAAACTTTACGTCAGGGGTGTCGAATCCTGGTCCTCGAGGGCCGCAATCCTGCATGTTTTAGATGTTTCCCTCTTCCAACACACCTGATTCAAATGATCAGGATCGTTATCAGGCTTCTGCAGAGCTTGATGATGAGCTGATCATTTGAATCAGGTGTGTTGGAAGACGGAAACATCTAAAACATGCTGGATTGTGGCCCTCAAGGACCAGGATTCGACACCCCTGCTTTACGTCTTTAAAGTCCTACGTGACTCACTGCACCTTGTGTTGTGCGATGCTGTCCTTCCTCTCGGTCTCCATCAGCGTGATCCTCTGCTCCAGACAGGACCTCTGCACCTCCAGTCTCTGTATGTCCTCTCTGAGAGGCTGCAGACTGGCTCTCAGGTCCATCGCTTGCTCCCTGCTCCTCCTCAAGGCCTCCTCACCCGCCTGCCTTCTCCTCAGCAGGGCCGTGAGGCGGGGCTCGTACCAGCCCTCCAGCGCCCTCACGCTGCCGCTGAGCCTCCTCTGCAGCCTGACGGAAGCCTGGCGGCACTGGCCTACGTCGCTCATGGCCCTGGGCCTGCAGAGCTTAGTGGCCTGGTCCCTGAGGGTATTGAGCTGGTTCTGATGGGCCTCCTGCAGCTGGGACAGCTCCTGGGTCAGACTTTGGATATGGGCCTTGAGCTCCTCCTATGAATAGACGCACAATAATACCCCAAAGCATTATGGAGAAGATAATTGTTCATTAAATCTGAAATTAAAGGTTACCAGGGTACCACCTGCCCAGGGACTACGGATAGAAATTATCAGGTAGCAAGATTCCAAGTCCTTGTAATAGACTAAAAAACAAAGCAATATAGTAGAAGAGGGCTTGAAATAGTTTAGGCAGACACTACAAGTTATTGTGCCAACATTACACGACAGTACACAACCTACTTAATATCTGACAAAAGCTTAACACCATCTACACAGCACCGAACACGTCAGCAGGTTCTGATCATTTCTAGATTTGTTAAACAAATCATTCACATTTCTTTTCTAACAGTTTTAAATGCACGTGCTACATGTTTAGTTCTTTACAACTTAACAAATGTTCCATAAACTCACCTCTTTGACCCAAACATAAAGATTATAATATAATAATTTGCACTGTTTTATGATGCACCAAAAGATAGATTTAGTTGATGGTTGTTGTGGGTTCGTGTTACGTTGTTTATTTCCTGCACAGTAAATGATAAATAGGATAATTATAAGTGAACAATATAATATGTATAATGATAACCATGCACGAGACGATGTAAATACAGAGTTTCCAGCATGTGATTTCAGATAATCTTTTAGTTTTAACAGCTTTTATATGCTTTTGATTTGTACATTTTATAATAATATCAATGCATGAGGATGATTTATCTTCTGCTGGAGAGATTCACCACTGACCATCTGCACTGTTGGTTTTTTGCACATTAATAGGTTTCACTAAATTAAACTGCTGCAAAACTAAAGCTTGAAACTAGCCCCCATAAAGGATAAAACTTGTTAAACAGTACAAACACAAATAACAAAAGGAAGACCAGCATCAATCAAAGACCCCTCACCTTGGTCACGTCAGACTGAGCCACCTCGTACTCGTGTGCGGCCAGCGTCACCTGGCTCTGGATGCAGTCTCTGGTCGTGGCGAACAGCTTCCTCTTCACCTGCTGCACTTCCTCGTAAACGGCGATATAATCCAGCTGAGCCAGGGTGAGCAGCTTCCTCGTTCCCGCCAGCCTCCCTCTCAGGTGCTCCACGACTCGCTGCATGGGCTCCTGCAGGAGAAGGAGCTCCTGGATCAGCTCGTCTCTCTGCTTCTCCAGCCGAGACACTTGCTGGATGCAGTGCTCGAAGAGTTGGCCCAGACTGTCCACGTCCGCCCGGTCCATGTGTCCCGCTGGGTGCTGTGTGCGCTCGTGTGTGGGAGAGATGGTCTCAGAGTCGGTGTGGCTGCTTTGTGTGGTGAGGGAGTCCTCAGTAGACGCCGTGTCCTTTCCATCCTCCACTGATCTTTGATGGTCCATGACAGGAGGCGAGCTGGGAGGACAGAAGATGAGGAAACAAGCCTCATCAGATCTAACTGAGCAGAATGACTGTTATGTAAATGGAACCTTATTTACAATTCTAATAGCCTTAAAAGATCCAAAGATCACACAGGACGACCTCAGCTGGTTCAATATCAAAAACTATATCTTATACTAAAGACTAATAGATTATAGTAACATATATTTGTACTTACTTGGACATGATAGTTGGTACAGATGTTCAGGCAGCTATAAGCACAGTTTTCCTTTTGCTTCAAGCAGAGCTCTGCCGTGTGTCTGTCTCCAGAAAAACACAGGCACACTTTGTGTTTATTAATAACACCGGAGGCACGGGGGAAACTCAATCTAAGACCCTCTTATACCCCCACAGGACATCAACAAACTGTGTCAGTGCTGGGATCACACTGGCCTACATGCTCTGGATGCATCAGCTAACACATGTCTGGACCGGCCTGGGAGCCACACAGGGCTATATTTATACACTTCCACAGCCTGTTTTTATGTGCATTTAGGAAGGTGGTGACATCACGGTGGGAAGTTGCCTGAGCCGTAACTTTCCTCACCTTTCTACCGAAAACATCCTGCCTCAGACTGCTGCATGGGCCGAGGCAGCAGCTTCAGCAGGCCCGTGCTCGCTTTTCCCTTTGATAGCTTCCTCCAGTATTAAGCTCAGCTGCCCATGAAGTTTGCATGGTTCATGAACAGTATTTGTTTTCACTGTTTTGCATCCTGCTGATTATATTTCTCACAGACAAACACGCTCTGCCACACACAAGAAGGATGGATTTGATCAGAGATGTGAGCATCTTTAGGGAATAATCTATATTTTTTTATGATTTAATCAGCATAATTCCACACTAGCAACACACTAAAATACAGTTAAAGAGCATCTTAATGGGAAAGTTAGATAAATGCACTGCATGTGTATCCAAAGGGGCTTTACTGTGATTACATCATGTATGGAAACAGTGGGCCATTTACACCCATTTACTTAAATGGGAGAAGCTTATCTAAATTGCTGAATTGCTGCTCTGAAATGTGATGTCATGCATTCTGTATTCGGTGAGTTACCGCCCCCATAAAGCTCAAAACAGAAGTGTCCTTTTATTTTTATTTGATATTTAGTGATGCAGTTTTCACAGGACAATGACATGTGTGCATATTGTTCATAAATGCTTGTGCGGCCTCTGTAGAGGTGTTGTTAGGATCTTGACATATTGAGGGAATTAGCACGACTCCCTGATCTTTACATCTGAACCTGATAAGTGCGTTATTTTCAAGTTATATGTAAGTTACACGTGAAGCCATTCGTCGCTTCAGTGTGTGACACTGTGCTCTAGATAAAGTTAGGCCATCCCATTATTTTTTGTTGTCATCATGTTTCAATTATTAATATCCTAGTGAGTGCAGACTGACTGGAGCAGCGCTTCATTTAAACTGTGTGCCTTGGACTGAATGATTTGTAGCTATAACCACATGTAGATGTGTGCATCTGAGAGCCACTGAGCAGGTTCAGGGTCGCCAACTTGGAGCTACAAGCTGGTGTAAGAGTGTATATAATTAGAGTTCATTTTAATTTAAAAAAAAAAAAAAAGAAGAAAAATTTAATACTAGTTTGGCATTTCAACCATAAAAAAGACAAAAACCTGTTGACATCAGGGGCATTTCATAAAACATTTGGAGCTGTAGCCTCACACATCCAGGCCTATTGATGCCAGTGATCTTGTACATGTTGCATGGTTTTGCACTCTTTAGTTGCTGTTTTTTTAAATGTAAAATGTAAAAGGTAGAAAATGATACTACATTAGATTAGATTTAAATGTATTTCTTTTCAGAAGACAAGTATTAAGACAACAAAATGCAGCTTAGCATCTGGCCAGAGGTGCACAAGAAGCTATAAAAGTGCAATGAAACGTAAAATATCCCAGTAGAATAGCAGTTACACTATAAACAGAACAAACACTGTGTAAGTCATAGGATATGTAAGATTTATGAATATCCAGGATGTGTAGAGTCAGTTTGTGTCAATTCAGACAGAATGTAGGGAATTTATGTTGCTGCACCATCTCATATTTTGGTCAGAGTTCAATTGTGTGTTTTTAGCCAGAATTTTGAGAATTTCATCTTTTCAGAATCTGTGTATTTTCATCCTCAAAGAACAAACAAACAAACAAACCTTGCCAGATAAGGATTCAGTATCTCCAGATGTATAACTCTCACTGCCATGAAATTTGGTGAAGACAAACTAGTTTCCAGCTGATCCAAATGATCAGACGACTCCTGAACAGGCCAGATGTGTAATTATTGGTCCTTGAAACGGAAAAAGGTGCAAAGAGAATGTTACAGTCGTCCTTAAATGTATTCATAGCCTCCCACTAAAGACAGACAAAAACAGCTGTCACTGAAATAAGCTGAAATTGACAAAAGTAATAATAAATTTAATGAAATAGGAAAATTGTGACATTGCTTTTGAATTGTGGTTTAACAGAAATATTAAAAACAAAACAAAAACAAGCATGATGTGACCAGTAAACTAATATTTAGTTGAACAACACTTTGAGCCAATCACTGCAATCAGGTGTTTTCTGTAACTCTTAATCAGACTTCTGCACCTGTTGACAGCTATTTTGATTTCACTGCTCATCAGCAAAGTGCTCTAATTTGTTTGGGACCGTTTTTTTTTTTTTTAATTATTCTTTTCACCCACAATTCAAAAGCAATGTTTTATTTCACTAAATTATAATTTAGCAAATTTCTATTTATGATTACTTTTTTCAGTTTGTAGTTATTTGAGTGACTATTGTGACTTTTCCCTTTTTTTAATGGAAGGGTATGAATACATTTCTCTGCAGAGGACGACTGTATGTTACCACAGCACTAAGTTGGTGTAAGTAAACCCACTCGCTGTTCCGTCGCTCCACCACTAGGTGTCCCCACAGCACCGGCCGCCGCCTCCCGCTCTCACCTGAGTCCGGCCTCCTTCAGGTGCGGAGCCGCAGGTTCGACGCAGCGCTGAAGGGATTCCGTCATTCAGCCTCCGCGGCTCAGTGGAGCGTCCGCACACAAACAGCGCTGACAGCACAGGAGACACTTCAGCTGACATCCAGCAACTAAAAAAAAACTAAAAAAACCCAAACCCCTCCGAGATCTCATGGGAGAGCTGCGGCGGCGGGCTGCGAACAAACCCACGCTGCAGTTGTTCTTCACGGAAATGTTTCACCTGAACTTTTCCTTCGGACGCTGAAAGTTGGAGAGGAAGGACGCAGCAGGGAGACGCTTCAAATGGAGAGTGGCTGAATCAGAACCAACCGGATCTGAAAAGTTTCACAAGGTAGGATGAAGAGACTTTTTTTTGTTGTTGTATTTGTTTGTCTGAGTTTTAAAGGAAAAAACTTTTAGTACTTTTTGCAAAAAGAATCCTGCTGGTAAAGCCTCATAAACTACTCTTAGTTTAGTATTCTTGCACAAAAAAAAAAAAGTTAAACCAAATAATCACCATAATCGATCAACTTCCTCAGATGTACAGAAAGTGACTTTTAAGTGAAGCTCATGTACAAATCTGCTCTGATATGATTGACTACATGAAGCCAACACACTCCACATGTCAGAAGTTTGGTCCAAGTTGCTGGAAGATGCCAGGAGGATGAGCGTGGACATGTATGGAAAACTAGGTGTGAGAGATTTGCTTAGCTTGGCCTTGAGGGATCCGAAGCAGAGGTAACCTAAGACCTGTGCTGCTCCTCTCAGCTCTGGAGCTAATGACAATGAGGACTATTGTGTTGTCTCAGGCAGCTCAGCAGCATGCCGCTCTGACACTTTGCTCAATATGTGTCAGTCAGTGACAGAGCAGCTCTTATGTGGACCCACATAACACCAGGAACACCTCAGGACCTCTATCTTCCTAGACTTTACACTTTGGGGCGAGCTCCAAACTTTTTCTTTTTCTGTTTTTTTTTTCTCTCTCTCTCTCTCACTCCCATGGCTTCAGGTTTACTCCTTGCACCCTCCGGTAGGTAGGTGAGGCTGAGACAGAGCCGTTTGTTTAGAAAGGGTGTGCCGCTCCTTCTTCACCAGCCTGCCATGCCAGGGCTTGTACCCATGGAGATTACAGGTGTGTTATGTAAGCACTTTGAGGTATGGCAGAGCCTGGTGGAGACCTGAAGAGATCAAGGTAGACATTAAAGTGGGAGACGGTGATGATAACAGAGAGGCAGAGGGAGATGAGGACTTTACTGGCAGGAGAAGCCTGAGAGGGGAATGGTGCCGGCCAGGTCGGTTGTTGTTTTGCTGCAGTGGAGCAAAGGGGAAAGCTGCTGGTCAAGAAAGGCCGGCGAGAGGAAGGATCGGTGTTGCGACAGACAGAGACACATGATTTGGGAACAGTAAGTGATGTGTGTGTGTGTGTGTGTGTGTGTCACCCAGGCCTGCAGTAAGAGGAAACACTTGAGTGGGACACAGTGTGCTCTTAATCAAAGGGATTAACTGATGAGTAACAAATCAACGCTCTTTATCTTCTGAAAAATGTCATCAGTGGCTGTGGGGTGGGGGGCAGGAGGGCAAACTGTATGCAACAAGCATGATTTTCTGCTGCACCCCAAGGCTCTTTTTTTTCCTTCTTCTTGCCTTTCTGAGAGTTCACATAAGTTCTTTGCCTGAACTCGGGGCTGCTTTTTTTTTTTTTTTTATTGTCAAACTGCATTTTTCTGGTACTGAGGCGACTGTCAGACTGAGTGAGCTCCAGACTGAAAGGATATTGTTTTGACTGGGACCGAGCAGAGACACAGAGATGCCAGGGTGTATTTTTAAAACCCCGCTGTCCAGCTGTGTTTGCGTTCTCCACAAACCGGTCACTACTGCTGCACAACGGCGTCTTTTTTTTTTTTTTATCCCCCGGGTTTGACCCGGGGTCTTAAGCTGCACGGAGGCCGCAGTCCTGGCTTAGACCCTTGGCAACCTCTTGTAGCAAAGCAAACAGGCCACTCTAGAGCCACATGTCTCTGAATACTGCCTGGGAAACGTTTCCTATATGTCTTTGGATTAAAACTAGAAAAGTGGAAACAAATCCAATGTAACCATAGAATTCACCAAGAAGATAATCAGCTGCTCGTTTCTGGATTTTTCTTCCACAAACACGGCCAGCATTGCTCATTTCCAGTACTTCCATTTGTCATAGTATTTGTCCAGTTTCCATATCAGCCATATACAATGAACAACAATCTCAGCCAGTGTGCACAACCACACATTATAATGTTATCTCAAAATGACTCCCATGCGCCATCCATTATCCGTTTTCTTTCATGGCTCGGTCTCCTAGGCCACTGTATGAGGGGCGTGTAGGGGGGGGAGAGTGGAGGGGTGGTGGTGGTGGAAGGCTGAGGAGGTGTGTGTGTGTGTGTGTTGAGGGGGGAGTGAAAGCAGATTTGGAAAGAAGAGTTCCTCAGTTGGTAATTATCAATCTCTCAGGAATGTGGCTGCTGCTCTAACCAGACAAGCTGCTGCATGGCTGCAACAGCCTCGCAGCACACCGACACGCATCGCGTTGCCCATCCGCAGAGCTCTGCTGCGAGGTACCACCCCTCCCTCCGTAACCTCAGTGAACCTCAAAGCGTTTTGGGTTTATTTGTGTCATTATTGTTTCGCAGAGCTTTGTGTATATTTTTTTTATAACTGCCATTACCTACGTGGTCTCTTTTTTTTGTGAAACTCTATCCTCCCTGCAGCAAACAAAAGGACCACATAATGTCAGTAAGGGATTGTCTTTCAGTCCAAGTCCTTCGCCGCTGTGTGTTTATGCTGATATGTTGGTAGGAAACCAAACTGTTGGAGACTTGCGGCCACCCCGGGCCTCCCTCCGCTTCTCCGATCGAAATTTTCATGAGCTATTTGGAGGCATTATTTGTTTGTATTCAAATCACGTCTGGCGTGTCTGCTCTGATCAAGAGTTCAGCTTCCTTTAAGGCGGGAATCTCTCATTGATTCCTCCTCAGATGAGTCTCATTTCTCAGACTGGTTTCAGCTGTAAAACTTCCCCCTAAGTTGTGGAATTGAGTATTTCCAGTTTGTCTCTTAGTAGCCCCGCCATCCATCACGGTGCGCTGAGTGTTTGCACACGAGTATGCAGAGTTCTAGTTCAGACAAGGCTGTCTTAAGTGTTCTCTTGAGTAGCAGCGCTCTCCTTTGTTTGATAATGCCCAGAGAAGACAGCCAACGCCCTGACTGATGCCTGTAGGTGCTGCACGGTAACAACAGTTTTTATGCTGCTCAACACTTGCCATTTGAGTCGCTGTAAAGTTTAAAAGCTGTTATTTACCAGACTGGCTGTTACTCTGAAGCGTGTACCTCTGGTTTCCACTCTACACACACTCAACAAAAGATGAACAATAATCATCTGTTGTTTTTATCCTCTAGCAGCGATTAACCGCATTGAGTCCGATGTTAACCTCCAGCTCAGAGCGGTGCCATGTGAAACCAGCAGCTCAGGTATAGATGTGAATGGCCTCCTGGTTAAACGGAGCCAGTCCTAGTTCAAACAAAGGTGGCTGTCTGTATCTCTGCCACTCCCTCTTGGCTTTGCCTTATCCCCATGAGGCAGTGCAGTCTGCTCCGTCAGCTTCCCTGTGTGACTCACTGCAGTCAAAGTTGCCTGTTCCCGAAGCCCCCCCACCCCTCCTTCATGCCACTACCTGTGAATCCTTATTGCTCATGTGTGCCAGAGTGGCTAAGATTACACCAAAACAGGGATTGCGTGAGTTTGCTGTAAGTTTTTTTTCGAGGTTTGCTGCATCCGCCTGTTGGAGTCTGTGGTGTTGTAGGGGATCAAATGTTGTTTTAAACTAATGCTTTACCGCTTGAGTGCAGTTTGGTTGCTCAGATAGTTCAATCTGGTGTCTGAAAACATTAAAAAGTTAGTAAGAGTCAGTTTAGTAGAGTTGTATGAGTTGTCTACTAGTGCAAATCCCATCTTACTGCACTTTCACACAAACCTGTTTAAGCTATGTACACTTCAGTCACTCCAACTGGATTTCCTTTGCACACTAGTTTGTCAGTGAAAGGTGCAGCAGAGCTCAGTGTAAGATGGAGATCTGTGGTGTGTTATCATGGATTTGCACCAGTGCGAACAGCCCCCTGCTTTAGGCAAGGCAGGTGTCGGTGCTTTACGTCGCTTAAACTTTGTTGACCCGCTCGTGTACAAGCGGAGAGGAGAGACCTAGATTTGCTCTGGAATTCATGCCTTCCAGCTTGACGACATATAGCTGTCAGGAGTACATGATCAATACATGCTGTTTCCTGGCATGCTGCTGAGTTTCTGCGTCTGTCTCATGACAGCGTGTAAACTGCTATCAGCTCGGGTTTAGTTCATGCTGGTGTGTACACACTGCTGTCGAAGTTAGATAAGTCAGTCGGTGCTTGCAGGTATTGACACACCGTGTTGAGGGTAGTTGTGTTAGAGTGGTATCTCTGTCCAATGCGAAGCCTGACGTCTTTTGTAAAGGATAAGTAAACAGCATGTTGGAACACATGCCTGCTCTGGCAGGACTGGGGTTAGGCTGAAAACCGCGGCAGCTTTAGCGTGTGTGTGTGTGCGTGAGACGGAGAAAGCGTACACAACTGTGTTATTTGTGAATCGGCTTATGACTTGATCATAATCTTTATGACGATGTGATGCACCCTGATGTGGTGTTGTACATGAAGCTGAGCTACAAATCCTGACAAATGATCAGATGTTAAAATCCTCTTTTGTTCTTATAGTTTGTGCATCAACTTTTATGAACTGGAAGGTGTGGTTAGGGGTTAAGTAATTGCTGGGACAATGAAGCAACTCTGTAATTAAGATGTTGGTGCTTAAGCTTTTCAGAGAGAGATTGTGAGTTTGAGGCGTATTTGCTGGAGAGGGTTTGTGACGGTAACTTTTCACCTAAGTAATTACTCCACGAATCTTTATTGTAAAAAAAGTCTCATCAAACAGATAAACTGATGCTTTCAGAGAATGGAAAAGGAGGCTGCGCTCTGTGCGTCACCTCATTGAATTTGTTTGCAAAACTGAAAATTGCAGGTTGTTTTGTGTAACCACAGCAACGGTGGCATGAGTCAGCTCCTTGTGACCGGACTACACAGGCAGCTGTCCTCTGGGTGGTCTCCACCACATCCCAGAGTTCTTTGCATTGCTCTGGTCTCTCCGTGATGGAAGTAATACAAGGAGTTACAATCCCAGCAGCCTGGGGCTATAAATGAATGAACCAGCCCCTCGTCTCCTGAGAGGGGCATCTGATTATTGGCGACTGTAGCCAGCGCAGTTGCATGGATCTTAGTCATGCCCAAATGACTGTAATTTGGAGCAGGAGAAACACAGGGCTTAGTGCTGAGAGAGGCCTGCTACTTTTCTCTGCAGAAGATGGATACTCTTTCTTGTTGTTGGCCTTTCACTACAACGCAGCCTTTACTCCACATACACACTACGCCATTTCACATGTGCTGCAATGCATAACTAGTTTAGCTCGTCTACATTAGGATAACAAACTACTTTAAAAAAACGCCCACTTTTGTATAATGTTTAGAAAAGCATTCAAGTACTTCAAGTAGTCAACTTAAGCCTCCCAGATCGAGCTGCATACTCCTGACATGAGTGTGGATGCAAACCTCTTTTTCTGGTGAGGCCAGAACCAGGTTTAACTTCATTCCTTGTCCATGTTAGGAGCATTGTGAGACTGAAGTCTTTACACAACTACTGGATGGGTTTCCATTGTGTGTCTCCAAAAATGCAGCCTCTAAGCACAATTAAATGTCCCTCAGGATGAATCTCTTTGACCTTTTATCTATTTTAATATGGTGATTAGGACACCTGCAAAGCAAGTTCCCATCAGGTGTGCTTTTGGTGTCGTGCTAATTACCATCAATTATAATGCTAAATAAAGACAGTGAATGACAGCTGTATGAGGTGTGTCAGAGAAGTTTCAGGACTGGTGTCACAAAAGATATATTTCAAACCCAAACTACAAGTTGTCCCCTTCAAAGTAATCCCCCTGGAGTCTAACACACTTCCCCAGCCTTCTCTGCCACGCCGCCATGCACTTCTTCCTGGATCCTCCTCAGCTCCGTCGTCACAGCTATCTTGATGTCGTCCACGTCTTCAAAACGGGTCCCCTTGATGACCCCCTTGATCTTGGGGAAGAGGAAAAAATCCCACAGAGCCAGGTGGGGTGAGTAGGGAGGTTCCTCCAGCACAGAGATGTTCTTCTCATCCAGAAACTGTGGGATGCTCAGGGCATCGTGAGCAGGTGCGTTGTCATGGTGAAGCAGCCACGACTTGTCCTGCCACAACTCTGCCTCTTCTACTGAACGAAGCAAACACCACAGGATCTCTTTGTAGACGTGCTGGTTGATCATCTGAAGGGGAAAACTTGTAGTTTGGGTTTGAAATATATCTTTTGTGACACTGGTCCTGGAACTTCTCTGACACACCTCCTATCCTGTGCTACCAGGATCTAGAGATGGCAGCCTCTTGGGAAGTTTTCTAGCTTCCGTGTTAGTGTTTTCTCAACCTGACCACAAACTCCAGCCTCAAGAAGATCAGGTGCTTGAATCAACATGCTCACAAAACACAAACGTTATACCCTTCCTGAAGGTAGGATTGCACGACCTCTATGCATTAGTTTTACTCAGGTGTGAACTGGCAGACTCTCTGTAGGATTCCAACTTAGTCAAGATTTGACTGATTTTTTTAAAAAAAAAAGGTCCATTTGTGGCCAGTGCACAATATGCCCGGCATCTGGCTTTCAAAAGTACACATCTGCACCAAAAATTTTCCATATGAGAGTCCCTTTACTCCTCATCACAACTCCCTCTCTGGATTACACGGAGCTTTGATAATGAGAGGCTGTTTGGAAAAGTCACATTTGTAATCCTCAGAGAACATGACATAGGTTTCTGTGGTTTAGTTTCGTGTATGGGGCAACAAAGTCTTCCTAGAGACTGAAAGATGTTAGATTATATTGCTCACACATGACAAGAATCCATTTGCAGTGTTTTTCATGCCTGTCTGAAAAGCAGCACGGCAGCCAAAAAACTTTTTGTGAACTTTCTCGACGGCACCGGGGATTCATAATTCTCTCCCTCCGACTGAACTCCCACCCTCCTTCGGTCTTTTGTCTGCTCATTTACAAGCTCTGACTCCTGTCATCTTAAGAGCTCGTTCCTACTTTTAGCCCTGTGATTTGGAGATAAGTATCTAATAAAGCACGCAGCTGGAAGAAGCCCAGTGCGAGCTACAGATCCCCAGGAGCAAGGCTGGGAAATGTGCCTCAGAGTAGGGAAGTTTAGCAAGGTGAAGGGTGGAGGAAGGAAGCAAAGGGAAGGCAATGAGCTCATTCAACTTAAGAAAGAGGGAGGAAAAAAATATAAGGGTAGACAATGAAACACGACACGTGACTTTAAACAGAAACTAGAATGGCATGGGAGTTGACAGCGTTAGTTAAAAATGCACATTGGTGTGTGTTTATGTTTCAGTTTTTTTTTACCTCCTCCTGGTGTGCTGTTGTGCCTGTATGTAGAAGTGCATGAGCTTACGGGTGCGGCTTTGTGAATTATGACTCCATGTTATGGAATGAAGGGAGCGGAGCCAGTTCTTTCTTTGCAGAACTGTGAAGTTTGGTCTAAGAGGAAGGAGGGGGTCTGCGTAGGACAGAGTGTGTGGGTTGAATGCCCACGGAGACACACAAACACACACACACACGAGTGATCTGAAAAACAAGACATCGTAGCGCATGTGTGATTTATTTGTAGGATTATTTCTAGTGTTTAATGAATCAGACTGCTGGGTTTAAAGCTGTCAAACGTTTCCCGAAGCATGCCATAAATTTTAACTTGAAGCACCAACATCCACAACAGTGGAAAAGCGTGACAATAATGGCCTTTGTCTTTTGGTTTTTCAGGAAGTCAAAACCTGGAAGGCAGGCAGTAATCGGATACAGCCATTGTTGTGAGAACACTGAATTTGGCAGCTTCTTGTAGTTAAAAGGTTTCTTTGCTGATCCAAAGTTTGAAATATTGGATGTTATGATTTCCATGAACGCAATAGCAGGGTTGGTTTTCTTAAGTGCACAATGACAGGGTAAATTTGACAAGTCGCAAAGCCAAAAAAAACACAAAACTAGCTGTGATGGATGGATTACCCAAAGCAAAGTGTCAAGTGTCTGTGAGCTGATTTTAACACTCCACAAGCGTTTACAAAAAAACAACAACAAAAAAAGGCAAGAAATCAATCAGAAAATCCAATATAGTCCTTTAATCATTACCTCTCCTTGAGCGTCAGCACATACTCTAAAATTGATGTTCTGCTTCTGTTTTCTTCTCTCGTCAGGACGTAGCTCCAGCGTGAGGCGGCATGTCAAACCGGGACTCGCTGGGCTTCGGGGACATGCTCCCCCAGGATGTGGTGGACATTTTTTCCCAGGAGAAGCACAACAAAAGGGGCCAGAAGAAGCGCAGCCGCTCCCTGGGACGAGCTTTGGGCTGGCTGAAGGGCAAGAAGAGGAAGGAGCTCGGCACTAATGGGTCGAACCCGGGTCTGGGTCCTGCTTTTGACCTGGCCATTGATGGGAATGCTGCTGGGCATCAGGGTGGACACAAGGGAGGTCAGAGGGCAGAAGTCAAGAAGGCAGGAGGACAGAAGGCAGGACGGCAGGCCCATCATCAGGGAAACAATCATGGTAAGAGTCCTCAATATGCTCAGTATATTACAGGGGTGTCCAATCCTTTCCCTCTTCCAACACACCTGATTCAAATGATCAGCTCATCATCAAGCTCTGCAGAAGCCTGATAACGATCCTGATCATTTAAATCAGGTGTGTTGGAAGAAGGAAACATCTAAACAATCCAGGACTGTGGCCCTCGAGGACCAGGATTGGACACCCCTGGTATATTATATTAGAAAGTTTGAATC